CCCCGGGGCTCCAATGTAGGCAAATAGGTCTTACATTGGCGGAAGACGGCCCTCAGAGCAACATTGGCCCACAACAGGCCTCCGTAGGCCCTCAGAACAACATTCAAAACCATAGTTTCTGTCAGCTCTGGTGCGTCAGATCAGGAAGTCCTGATTCGGTACTTTATATGAGAAACGTAGCTTCATGTAGCAAAATTATGGTACTGAAGGGCCAGAAACGTGAGCAAAGTAGTTTCATGTAGCAACATTATGGCACCGAGCTGCCTTCATGTCGTGTAAAACCACCTCAGATGTCCATATCACACAAAGTTTCTGGCACCACAGGGCCTTCGCATGGTCTAAAACGTAACGGCTTCCTCGATGTGAAAAAAACATATGAACATAAGAGTTGCAAGGGGTGGCACATGCATGCGTGCATGCAACATGTGTAGTGTTGTGTGCGCGCACAGTTCAGGGTTTACATGGTTGGGTTTGGTTGCTAGGTATAGATCTTCACTGACATCGCAACCGGGCTGGGTACTTCAAGGTTTCAGCTTCTTCTTACAAGCTCTAACCTATAAGAATTTTCACAGAACAGTGTTACGAAGCTTCAGGCTGTAGGTTCCGGGTCGCTTCAAGGCTGTGCAGTGGGCTTGAATCCCAACACTTAACGGCATATCCCACGTAATCAGACCCATCACCCCCCGGATCTTACATTCAATCGTCCCTGAACACCCTGAACTGTTCAGCTCTTTGTCCAGGGACTGGCTTGTTGATGAAGAGGCTTTGGCTTTAAGGTTTAGGGCTTCGGGCATATTAGGGCTTCGGTTGAAAACATCTTAGGGTTTAAGGAGGGGTTCAGGTGCATTGCATGCAGGGCCCAGAGTGTTCTTGGGACTTACAATCTCTATATGGTTTAGGGTTTAGGGTATTAGGGTGTAGGGTTTAGGGTATATATATATATATATACAACCCTAACATCGGGTTTTAAAGGGTCTATAGTGTAGGAATTTGTGGGATAACTTATTTCTTTGCTGCTGTTAACTTATAAGACCCCAACCCTAGCCTTAAACTTTCAAGGGGTTTTAGGGATGGGAAGAGCTCGGAGAATCGAGTGCATTTCTTTGATGCACTGTGGGTTATCTTGAGGTTCACAAAAGGTTTACGAACAGCTGGGAGAATAAGATGCAGCCATCTGATGCACTGCTTGGGCTAGTTATAGGACATTTTATGTATATATATATATAACCCTATAATTATATGGTTTAGGGGGTTGGGGTGTAGGAAGCTGGGAGAATTCCGAATGCCTCCGATACACTGTTTGGGTTCCCTGTTTCGGGATCTAGCTAGGAAACACACAACCAAAACCCTAAGCCCTAAACTTCGGGTTATGTTGGGGCAGCTGAGTGCTGGACCGGAAGCAAACCCTAATTACAAACCCTAAACCCTAAAGCCTAAAGCCTAAAGCCTAAAGCCTAAACCTTAAACCCTAAACCCTAAACCCTAAACTTATATTGTTTAGGGGGTTGGGGTGTAGGAAGCTGGGAGAATTCCGAATGCCTCCGGTACACTGTTTGGGTTCCCTGTTTCGGNNTAAACCCTAAACCCTCAAGCTGCGGCTCAAAGTTTTCACTGCCTGTGCTCCTCACTGCGGAAGCGCATCAGGAGCCGGCAAAGGGTCCTGACTTCCAGCAGCCCCTTGTGGACCCTTTTGCCAACTCGCTTGGTGAAGCCCATAGCGTCCTCGTCACGAAATGTGTGATTGAAGCGGGCATTAATCAGCGTCTTTTCCATAAAATGACAGATCTCTTGCAGCCCATGCAGTTTCGGACGCATAGGGAATCTCAGTGACCCAGTGCCAGCATGTCTGGCTGCCAGACGTCGATATATTCGCAGAGTCTCCTCCATGGATATTCGAAGTGCAGCTGCCTCTGCTGGGTCCAGGTACCGCGGCAGTGATTCCAGACGAAGATGCCAGCTTGCGAAGCCATGACAAACTGCCAGCAGCAGAACCAGTTCCTCATCATTGTTGTCACCACCACCACGCTGCTGCAGCAGAGCTTGACAACAAGATGCCATGAACTGGACAAACACACGTCCATGGTAAGCTTTCAGCGTCAGCTCGGGCCCTTGTGGTGATGACAAGTGCAACATGCCCACCGTCAAGAAAGGCTGTGATTGAAGGATACCATGCAGGCTGCACCATTTGCGGAAGCGAATTGTCACAATTTGAAGGCGCTGGCCGAGTGTCAGTATTGCAGGATCACCGAAGAAGCCTCTTTCCAAAAGCCCGAGGAGCGCGCCAGCGTTCACCCACTGAAGGGCCCCCAGATTGCTCATGTGCATCAGGCACAGCTTCACCATAAATGGGTTGAAGCCTTGAACACCAAATATAGGCGAGACATAACTGCCAATGCTATGGAGAATAAAACCAGCTGCATCAAACCTTTCAAAGGTTGCAAAGCTCTCAAAGCTTGTGAACCTGGGATTCTGAAAAGTGTTTAGTGAGGGTTTAGGGTAGAAAACAAAAAGTGTTGCATCAAGAGCCCTCAACCCTAGTATACTTGTTACAATATACCAAAAACATCTGACACACCATGCCCAGCAGCTGTGTCGGCCCACGCACCTTGGATGCTTTGCAGAAGAGGCAGATAGCATTGGCGTTGTAGTGCCTTTTCAGACCAAATGTCTCTCGGTGATACTTCCAATCTCCCCTCAGCTCAGTGAGGGCATAGCTGCATGGCATCTCTTTGCCGGCAAGTTTTGCCCGAGCAGAGCCCTTCAGCCAGGCATCTCCCAGTGGACCAGCTGTCGGGTACACACCATTAAAAGCGATGTTGAGTGACCACGCAGCCACACGCCAGATCGGATCCAGCGTGCGTTCACCAACGCAAAGTTCATACCTCAACACAAAGTACGGCCAGCGACAGAGCTTTGATGATGCAGGATCATATAGTGGCAAAGAAAGAAGATTCACAACCAGCTTTGAACCAGCAAGGTTATACTGTGTGTCGTCGCCAGCAAGTCCAACTGGCACATGCAGATCTGTGGCCGGGTGCGGTGGCATGTGTTGCCTCCAGTGTGCCCAGAACCGAGAAAGTTCTGCCTGAGAGAAGACAATGCCATGCTTGTCCTTAGATCCAGCCACAGATGGCCAGTCCAAATATTAACCTCAGAACTACAATCACTTCTTATATTTGTTTACTAAACAATCAAACAAATTTCATATATTCCAATCCAAAGATGATGAGCAAAGTCTCAGAAAGATAGCACAGCAGCTCATGCGGCAGGATCATCGGAGCTCGCATTGTTGTTGTTTTAGTTAATGTCTCACTTGAGACATCTCTCACAGGAATCTTCACATGGTACAGGTCCTCAGCTGTTCGTTGATCTGGAGGTTCTGGAATTAGTTTCTGCTGCAAGTGTAACATATATACATACAAATTAGTTGGTACTATAAATCCAATGCAAGACTCTAGCGGGAGCTCCAAAGCACGATAGAGATCACGTTCTATATTCTGTGGATGGCGGCCATTTGTCCCAGTAGCAGCAATCTTGCGCGTCAAAGGAGAACATGAAGGGTTCTCCTCAGCTGTGCTGCAACTGAAAGAGAAAAAAACCCAAGCCTGGAAAGCACCACCCTTAATTAGATGAAATTATAAGGGTGTTGGCCTTCAGGGGACTTGGGTTTAAAAATGAAAGTTGGGGTGATAACTCAGACATGCTTTCTCAACACACATTCCTAGCCAGTAATGCAGCCAAACACCGATATTCCGGCAGCACTGCTTGCCTAGATATGTACTCGTGATCGCAACCGGGTATCAAAGCACACATGCTGCACATGAGTAGTACAAACGACACCATTCTAAGTATCCTGCCCATATCATGATGCAAAGAAGGATAACGACGGGCAAGAACAATATTCGCTAGGCGCATTTGCATGCACATCCGGGCATGATCGTGGTACATTCCTTCACCACAGATTGTAGCAATGCACAAGAATACAATGGCCAGTACGTATGGCTGCATAACCCCATAAAGGCTTCTGGCGATGCCCAGGCCGGCTCAATTAATATTCCTCCTCATCATTATATCTCTGTTGACTTCGAACACCATCTAATTCTGACCGCTTGCCAGGGCAACATGTATAATATGCCTACGAGAACCCAGTGAAAAAATGTAGGATTTAGCCTTATAGCTCACAGGCCGATGGCACTAATCCCTAATCCCTGACCCCCACCTTAAACCCTACACGAAACCCCTTAACACCAGAACGTGAAAAGCCGAGCTGTCTAGCCATGGACCCATCCCCTGAAATAGTCCCCATGATCCGCGAAGGCTTAAGGCTTACTGCTTGTGCCAGGTTTTTTGATTTCAGGTCCGAGTGTCTAGGTTTTGGGGTTTAGGGTCCTAAACCCTAAACCCTAAACCCTAAACCCTAAACCCTAAACCCTAAACCGTATTTAACTTTAACTAAGCCCAAACCCCGCCACCCCCTAAATGTTGGTGATCGACGGCCTACATGGTGTACCAAGTTCTGTTCTTCTCTTTATAAAGCTTGAAAGTAGGCATTGTTACAAGGTTCAAATTTAATGATGCTTCAAGACTTGATTTGCAGAATAATTACAACTTGCTGGATCCAGGTGCTGGCTCATGCGGGTTTCATAGGGGTTGATAGGATAGCTGTTTAGGGTAGTTAGGGATTTATAAACATCGGGGCTTGAAAGTTGTAAGGTCTTCTGGACAATACCATCGGCAAGGTGTTGTTCCACGCCCAATATCTGGAGATTATATTGGGAAATATTGGCGGCTTTTAATTCGGTTTTAGCATTTAGGTTGACAGGTTTTCCAGAACTGGGCCAATTATCAGAGACTCCGGCCTTCAATGTTGTATATATATATATATACATATGTAGGGTAACCCAGTCTTTTCAGGGTAGCTCAGACTTTTCGGGATTTACTACTCTATATGGGTTTCTCGGGTTGCATGCTTCAGCGCTTGGGGCTTAGAGATGTGAAAGGGCTTGCCAGAACTGGCTTTCACGGTAAGGTGCAATAAAGGATCTCAAGGGTTATACAGCTATTTAGGGTGATAAGCAAGGCCTTCAGATGAAGCATTGTCGAGAACTTGGTGTATACGTAGTAGCTTCATACAAGGATGTAGGTGTTTCCGGACATGTAAGTGTTTAGGTTTGGGCTGGCAAGGTTGCTAGTTTGGGAAGACTTGAGACTCATTTATTTCGACTTCAGAGACCTCAGGTTCAGGGCTTTATTATTATAGGTTCTAGGGTTCGAGGGCTTGGGGCTTTAGACCCAGATCTAGATCCAGGTTCTACTTTAGGGTTTTAGGCCGAGGAAATTTGGTGGCTTTCAGGACTTGTTTTGGGGCTTATACAATAGCCTTACAGTGGAGTCTTCGTAAGTGTTATGCTCAAGCCTGCTCCGAAGCAATCACATCAGCATGAGCAACACCATCAGCATCAGCATCATCAGCACCATCATCATCATCATCATCGTGATGTAGAACCCCTGAACTGCTTATCTTTGAAAATCAGCATACCACTTGAGCTAGGATTGTCGCTGCGAAAGCAGAGGTTGCATGCCCGACCAGCATGCCCAAAAACCCTGAGCCCAATAGCCTAAACACCCCAAGCTCCCGACGTCGACTGCTATCCCCCACAACATCCCAAAGCATACGATGACCATACCAGTAAACCTTAGCCGCCCAAGCTTTTCACCCCAGCAACCAGCAGGCCGAAAGCCCTATGGCCCCGATACCCCCTCAACCCTGGATCCTATGTATTGCCATTATTGATTGGTTGGTACCAACTTATTATAACACAGGGCTAGTGTAAAGTTAGGGTGATGGTAACCCTGCTCGATCGAAACACTATAATTATAACTCCTAAACCTGATCCTATAAATTCTCATACCGTGTACACCTAATGACCCGAAAACCCTGAATAAACCCGAAAACAGCAACCATATAATAAACCTCTATGCCCAGCATCAGCAACACATGCTGCAGCTGCTTCTTGAAGCTCTCGGCAGCTCGACGCCTAGAGTTGGGGTTGTGGATGAATCCAGGCTTTAGGTCATTGGGGTTTTGAGGGCAGTTTGGTTGTGTAAAATTTCTGGTAACCAGGGTTTTACTTCCTAGGGTTTCAGCTGGGCTTAGTTAGGGTCCAGGGTTTGGGCTCTAAGAAGCCCCTGTTCTCAGACTATACAACACCCTCATAATTTCCGAAACCTTGTTTGATTTGTTTGGATCCACGAAATATTATACCTAAACCCGACCCCTAGACCCTCATACCTTGCGAGCTACACCCCCTAAAATTAAGCCCTAAAACTCAAACCCGAAAGCAGGTACCCCCCAACCCATGCCCAAGCCTTAACACACAGGTAGCCCTGGCAATAGCCCAACCCTGAAATATTATAAACCCGATACCCTACAACCCTAAACCCAGAGCCACCAGCCCTTAAACTGTGCTGATCCTGAGAATAACATATTGTAGGCAGGGCACCCCGCGGCCCAATGTAGATATCAGGTGGTCCGCAAATTCAGAACCTGCGCAGGGGATCTAGGTTATAATTAATATATATATATATATATGTTTAGGGTGTGGTTTCAATCAGTATACATATATATATATATATAGGTTGGTGTTATAGCTGGGTTGAGGCTCAATTGCACATGTGTTTTGGATATGGGTATTGTGTGGGGTCCGGTTTACAAGGGAGCCGTAGTATAGTTGGGACCTAAAGGGAATCTGATTTATAGAGAGCCACCCATTTAGGCCTTAACTTATTACCTTTTTTTGTAGAGTTGCTGAGGCTGGCAAATAAATGAGGATGTTTGGATATAGGGGCTGCATCATCAAGCTGTGTAGTTGATGATGGCAATGCCGGCTTGTGAAGCTTTGGGGCTGCCAATTCAAAAGGTTTAGGGTTTTTTTGGTTTATAATAACCGCTTGATTCGGGCTTCCGCTTAAAAAGGTTTAGGGTTTCAGGGTTTAGGGCTTTATAACCCGACAGACCAACACCTGTCCACAACCTTCATATATGAACAACAAGCTGCTAGACTCCTAGACCATAATTCCCAAACCCAAAGCCCACTAAGACCCCAACACTTGTCCAGAAATTCCATAAACACCCTCAACCTGTTCACAATATAGTCTGCCCTAGCCTAATATATATATATATATATAACCCAAGAGCAAACATAAAAACACTTGTCCAGACTATCAACAAAATGAAAGCCTTCCATAGCCTAAGCCCCAAACCCCAGACCCAACACACCAACCTTGTCCAGACCTTCCACAGGAGAAAGCCTTCTAGACCCTAACTTTAAAACTTGTACCCCTAACCTTTATGTTCCAGACCTTCCACGGGGAATACACCTTCTAGGCCCTAACTTTAAAACTTTTACCCCTACTTATGCTCCAAAGCAATGCATATGCACAGCACTGACTGATCATTTCACACACCAGCGCTCTGCCAGTGAGACATCTTGAAGTGCACTTCACACGTGTAAAGGCCCAGAGCTGGAAAGCTGGACGGTGCACATCCCCACGTACATGCATAGTGTGTACATGTGTGTGTGTGTACTGTATATATGCAACTGCAAGCCTGCTCATGTGACATGGGTAGGTTATATATGAGCCTGTAACCTCACACGCCACGTCTATGGGATGATGCACATATGTCCCGCCAACTCTAGGATCGACCCCTAGCTTCGATCAGCCATTCGCAAAATGCATGGCCCAGGCCCAGCAGCATGATTATACAGATGTGGATGTCACATTAACCTGCACCCCCACCCGATAACATATTACCACCTAAACCTGTGACCCAGCCCGATAAAGTATTCTCACCACCTAAACCTGTGACCCTGCCCGAATGAGCATCCCTATCGAAGCAACATGTGCACACACTGAGCAGCAAGGCTTCATGGTGCCGTCGGTGCTGCTGCTGCTGCTGCTGCAGCAGGCTTGGTCTGCTTGGGCTTCATCTTTCTTGCATGCTTAGCAGCTTCCTTGTAATCGGAGATGGTGGCCACCAAGGCTTTTGTATGCTCACGGATCACATCATCAGCAGCACCACTTGACACAGCAGCCTTGCATTGGATTGGGTTGAACGGTGCTTCAGGGGTTTAGGGATCTTGTTTTATGAATTGTTTTGAATTTGTGTAGGGCTGTAGGGGAGCTTTGGGTGTAACACTTCGGGCTTTGGATTTTTTGCAACTGTGCAATGCACAATCTTGCCATACAGGATTGAGGAATTAGGGTTTAGGTGTGTTGAGGTTTAGGGTTTAGGATTTTTTTTTTTTGGTTTGGGGTTTTTGGGTTTCCTAATTATAAACTTCTAAACCCTAAACCCCAAACCCCTAAACCCCAAACCCCCAAACCCCTAAACCTAAAACCCTAAGCCCCTAAACACTTGAACCCTAAGCATTAAACCCCCAACCCCCTTTAAAGACAAAACCCCCTAACCCCTAAACCCCAAAAGCCCCCAAACCCCGAAACCCCCAAACACCAAAAACCCTAAACCCCAAAACACCCAAATCCCAAAACCCCAAAACCCCAAACCCTAATAAGCCCGATTAGGGGTTCATGGTACTTAATGCAGGGCCTCCACAAGCTTCCGGGCAGTCTCGAGCCCATCCACAAACTTCGTGATGTCTTGCAGCACTGCCGATCGTAGCGCCAACGGCCTCATCTGTTTTTTCTAACTAGGATATAACACAGAATCGAATGAATTTATATAAATGAGGTTTGATGTTGAGGCCCTTACGTGCTGGAGTTTGCAAGGAGCGCATCCCAGCTCCTGCATTCCAAAATCTGGTCTGCCGCTGTCTTCATGACCTTAGATGATTGTGTGACACATACAATTATGAATGTAGCCAGGTGGTGTGTGAATCTATTTGCAACCCAAGGACCTTCTTTGCCTCCTGCACCGCATTCTTCACACGTGGCTCCTGCAGCTCTGCATCCTTGCCCTTTCCAGCAGCCTTGCCATCACCCTTAGCAGCATCACCACGGCCACCTTTGCCCTTCTTGCCCTGCCCTTTGCCTCGCCCAGCACCTTTGCCCCTGCAAGTTCCATCGGTGCTTGCTCCCGGCAAGGCTGCTGGTGCTGGCATGGCCGGCATGCTGCTTGCAAGTCCAGGCCCCAGATTCGCTCGGTTTGCCCTGAAAGACAGTTTTGATAAACCCTTTAATTAGGCTTGAATTGGGGATTGGCACTTAGGGCTTAGTAACAAGGCTACAGGTCACAAAAATAGTTGTTAGTTTTGGCTAATGGCAGAGCATGACCAGCAGTTTCATTGTCGATGTTGCCCGTGCGGTTGATCTCCAGCCCAGTGACGGATGCAGTCTCATGAAGCTCACGGGACGCATCCCAACACAGATAAAGCCGCATGGCCTGATCAGACAAAATATTATCATACAAACCCCTAGGGCCTTGGAACCCATAGTACTATCACAACCTCTAGAATCTTAGATGCCACCATTTATAACTTATAACTAACTGGCCTGCCGGTCAGGGTTGGACTCATAGAGTCCAGCTTCCTCCTGAATCAGGTGCTTGGTCTTTTTTTATTAAAAAAAGGGGGTTTGAGTGGGATCAGATCAAAGGGTTCATCCACACATATAAGATTGCAATCAGTTTGTTGGGTTAAATGTACACATCATTTCTGTTTCATAGAACCTGTATAATAAGGGGTTTCGTGTTAGGGTTTTATTACTTCAGCTGGCTCTGAAGTTAAAGTTGAATGGCTGGGTCTAGGGTTTAGGGTTAAGGGCTTCGGGTTAGGTATCTATATACATCATAAGTGATTCTAGGGTTTAGGGTTAAGGGGCTTAGGGTACCCCGGTTTCGGGCGCTAGATACCTATATAGAACCTTGTCCAATATATAGGTCGTAGGTGATCCCCGTTCCCCAACTTTAAATACTAGCCCACCTTGTCTTGAATAATACCATCGACGACTTCCGTGTCGCCGTGGTATTTTTCGAGGAGGTCCTCAGATTAACACCAAAAGCCCAAAACCCCTAAACCTTGTTACCCTAAACCCCAAACCCCTAAACCCTCAACATGTAAACCCCTAAAGCCCTAGGCCCCTCAACCCTAAACCCCAAACCGTAATAACCCTAGGCTCTAAACCCCTAGAAAGCATCAACAGAATGTAATGGGGTCTGAGCATCCTGCCGAGACATGAGTCGATACTCTCCCCTTCTCCTCTGTCCTACCGTAGTGACATGGTTCAGGTGGATGCTTGACACCATCCAGTCGCCGTTGCATTGCAAGAATTCCTCCACTAGAGCTCCTCTGGCCTTTTTGTCCCCACCTCACAATTCGATAGCACATTTGGGTTTAGGGTTTCGGGTTTAGGGGTTTTGGGTTCCCTAGTGATAAACCTCTAAGCCCTTTAAACCCAAAAACCCCAAACCCCAAACCCCTAAACCCCAAACCTAAAACCCTAAGTCCCTAAAGACCTGAACCTTAAGCACTAAACCCCCAAATCCCCAAAACACAAAACCCCTAAACCCTAAACCCCAAAAGCCCGTAAACCCCCAACCCCCCCCCCCCAACAACAACACCATTCCGAGGTGCTGCTCGTCACCTCCATGTAGCGTCGCTTGACTTCCGGAGGGCAGGTCGGGCCTGAGATCAGGGGATTGTATTAAAAAGTAAGTCTAAAGGTTTAGGGGTTAGGGTTTACAAGAATATAGGTACAATTACATCAAAGCAGCCTCGCACAGACCTGAGGAACTTCATCGAGATCTTTTGTCGTCGATTCCGCACAGCCTGCAATCTCTTTAGGGGTTTAGGGCTTAGGGTGTCAAGGTTTGGGGGTCTAGGGCCTAGTGTTCTTAGGGCTTTGTTTTTTAGGGTTGAGGGGCTTAGGGCTTTAGGGGTTTACATGTTGAGGGTTTAGGGATTTTGGGCTTATAGGGTAACAAGGTTTAGCGGTTTAGGGCTGTTGGGGTTGTAAGGGGTAGGGTTTATGATGTGAGGAGTGTGTATACCCCCAATGTACAGATACCCTAACCCTACCCCCGAAACCCTGTGAAGAATACTTAGTTTGATGTCAGATGATGTAATGTAGATATTTGAATAGAACTATCAGTCAACTCATAACCTGTGATTATTCCTGGCCTTTTTGTGCGCCATCTCCTGCTGGCACTGCTCCTCCTCTGTTGTCGGCGGCACCACTGCTGTGCTTGTTGCTGCATTGCTAGCATTCTGCAGGTCACAAGTGTTTGCACGCAGGAGGCATGCGTGGATGGCAGCATTCGTGTCAGCTGCTGGGCCGGGGGGGTTCATCAAAGGAGCTGCTGGGATTGCTTCCATGCCTGGTGGAGCTGCTGCTGCTAGTGTGCTGGTCGCAGAAGCCGCTGCTGGGACGATGTTCTGCATGGGGGCACTCATCACAGGAACTGCTGCTGCTCCAACCACAGGAGCTGCTGGGGGGCTCATCACAGGAGCCACTAGTACTGGGATTGCTTGCGTGCTAGAGCCTGGTAGAGCTGCTGCTGGTGTGCCGGTCGCAGAATCCGGCGCTGGGACTGTGTTCTGCATGGGGGCACTCATCACAGGAACTGCTGCTGGTCCAACCACAGGAGCTGCTGGGGGGCTCATCACAGGAGCCACTGGGATTGCTTGCATGCTTGAGTCTGGTAGAGCTGCTGCTGCTGTGCTGGTCGCAGAATCCGGTGCTGGGACTGTGTTCTGTGTGGGGGCACTCATCACAGGAACTGTTGCTGCTGCAACCACAGGAGCTGCTGGGGGGCTCATCACAGGAGCCACTGGGATTGCTTCCATGCTTGAGTCTGGTGGAGCTGCTGCTGCTGCTAGTGTGCTGGTCGCAGAATGCGGTGCTGGGACTGTGTTCTGCATTGGGGCACTCATCGCAACAGGAGCTGGTTGGGGGCTCATCACAGGAGCTGCGACTGCTGGGGCAGCTGTTGAGGGGCTCATCACAGGAACAGCTGCTGTTACTGCTTGCATGCTTGGGACTGGTGTAGTTGCTGCTACCTGCTCATCCTCAGGCAGCTGTGCCAGTAAATGCGCTGCAAACCCCTCCTCGTAATCGACATCCATCTGTGTGTCCTCGAAGTCTGCCGGCACTGCACTGGCAGTGTTTGAAACCACTGCAGGTGTGGGGCTTGTGATCACTGCTGGGGCTGTCTCGACTGCAACAGGTACCATGGGGCTTGCTTGGGCTGCACTTGCAACCAGTGTGTTAGCAAGCACTGTTGGGGCTGTCACACTTGGTACTGCTGGGGCTGTTTCAACCATTGGGCTGGTGATCACTGCTGGGGCTGTGGCCACAGGGCTTGTCATCATCACTGCTGGGGCTGTCTGTGCAACCGAGCTAGTCACCACTGGTGCCATCACTGCCGGGGGCGTCTGTGCAACCGAGCTAGTCACCCCTGGTGCCATCACTGCTGGGGCTGTCTCTGCAACCGGGCTAGTCACCACTGGTGCACTTGCAACCATTGGGGTTCGGATCACTGCTGGGGCTGTGGCCACAGGGCTTGTCATCATCACTGCTGGGGCTGTCTGTGCAACCGAGCTAGTCACCACTGGTGCCATCACTGCTGGGGCTGTCTGTGCAACCGGGCTAGTCACCACTGGTGCCATCACTGCTGGGGCTGTCTCTGCAACCGGGCTAGTCACCACTGGTGCACTTGCAACCATTGGGGTTCGGATCACTGCTGCCGTTGTGCTTGCAACCGGGACAGTGCTTGCAACTGTAGTGGGGCTTGTGATCACTGGGGCTGTCTGTGCAACCGGTACCGCAGGGCTTGCTTGGGCTGCACTTGGAACCAGTGTGTTAGCAAGCACTGCTGGGGCTATCACACCTGGGACTGATGGGGCTGTTGCAACCATTGGGCTGGTGATCTCTGCTTGGGCTCTGTCAACTGCAACCATGGGACTCGTGATCACTGCTGGGGCCATGTCAACTCTCACCATAGGGCTAGTAATCACTGCTGGGGTTGCAGCGCTTGTGCTTGCGATCACTGCTGGGGATGGGGCACTTGCAACCATGCTGCTGCTCACCTGGCTTGCATCAGCTGCTGGGCTTGTGATCACTGCCGGGGCTGTGTCTGCAACCATAGCATCAGTGAGCTCTGGGGCCGTGTGTGCAACCGCTGGACTAGCAAGTGCTGGGGCACCTGTCGGGCTAGTGATGCTTTGTGGGTCCATCAAAGCTGGGGCTGCTGCTGCTGGTGCTGCTTGTGGCAGTGCAGGAGTTGCCGGAAAGGCTCTGATGCCCACAGGTGATGCTGCTGTTGACTCTACACTGAACCCGGGTGTCAACTCCTGCTGCACTGGGCTGGTCCTTGCACTGGACAGGGGAGTGTCATCCGGAGAGTGTCGGTGGCTCTCCCCATATACCCTATCCAGGTAGTTGTCCACTAAGCTAAGTGTAGCATGGAAGGGCACAGGATGTGCTGCTTGGGTTGCTGTGTAAGCAGTGGGAGCAAATGCAGGTACCGTTTGCCTGGGTGTTGCAATGGCGGTTTCTGTAGGTACCGGGGCTGTTGGTGCTGTAGCTTGCAGTACGGGAGTGCTGGCAGGCGAAGCTGGAGCTCTTTCGGGTGCGATGCCAGGAGCCGTGGATGACTGTGGTGTGGCACTGGGGGTTGCTGTTGCCGGGGCTTTTGCTGCAGTTGCAACCAAGCCAGTGTCAACCAAAGCTTGGTACATCTTCATTGCCTCATCAGGGGTGAGAGAGAGAGGAGAGAGGAGAGATAGAGAGATCTAGAACCAACTAAACAAAACAAATAAATACACACATAAAACTGCACTTACTCCAACTTGCATCCAAATCTCATCACCAAGTGAACATGTCTCGGGCACAGCCGTAGTGGGCAGGCCTAGAGGTGCAGCAGGAAGGGTCTCCAAAGCATCACCTGGAACGGTTTAGGGTTTAGGGTTTAGGGTTAAGGGTTTAGGCCTAAACACCAAACCCTAAACCCTAAACCCTACTTGGAGGGTCGGAGGAC